TTTTTTTTTTTTTTTTTGTTATTATAAAATACTTTAACAGGTTAAATATAATAAATAAAATTCAAGGATATAAATAACTTTATTACTTTTAACACAAGAACTTAAAAAAAAATGTGGTCATAATACAATTACAAATGTGCTGCTTTAGTTTTTAAGCTTTAACAAATACTATTTCTCTAAATTATTCTATTAAAAAGTAGTACATCATATTAAGCAGATCATCCCTAATATATTTAATCATTGCTGATTTTTGTTTAGTTTTAGACCTAAATAAAAAATAAAAAAACTATTGTGCTCATTAAAAAAAAGTAGAATCAAAGCAATCTAAGACAGTTATAATGTTATAATTAGTTATAATATTTTTGTTACACAACATTGCAAAAAAATTGTTTTAAACTCTTTTGCTTGATATAATGTTACAATATTAATATTATAATATTTTAAATTATTATTATTTATGATTAAATTTAATTAATAATATCCATATGTATTTAATTAGACTTACGAGACCCACCAAAATATAAAAATGGAAGTTGAGAAATGTGTTGATTACGGTGATGATGTTAGTGATCAACATCAAGCAATCATCAGGTAATCTATTGCTATTGAACTATTTGTACGTCTGGTTTGTAGTAAACACTATTATACTTTGTATGAAATCATTCAATATACAATTAAATGCTTTTTTATGATAAAATTTGTTTATTTTATTTTATTTTTTTTAAGCTTATTTATACATCAAATTTTTATTTGACTTTATTTAATAAAGTCACATTAAATATTTTTATGGTAAAATTAATCTTGATTTTTTTTTTTTTTTGCTATATGATGTTTTTACATTATTCAATTTTTATTTGATGTTCTTGCTAAATTTATCTTATGGTTCAAGGTTATAAGATTTGTAGTCTTTATATTTTTAACCCGTATAAGAATATTATGTTTAGCATCACCCATGGGATAAAAATATTTTATATTATTTACATTAAACACTTTTTTTTATTATTATTAAATAAACCTATCATTACAATTATAATAATTGCTATTCACCATCAAAGATTTCCCAAACATAATACTATTGAGATTAAAAGTGTTAAATGTGTACTAAAATAACGGAAATTTCCGTTTTTTGAAAAACGAATTATTATTTGTCTACATTAATGTTATCGCCTTCAGTTCATTCAGCGATGCGCTTATAATGTCATCTATGCTTGTAACGACGGTTAAGGTTCTCTTGATTTTTTATTTTTGGAAATAGAAAAAGTCACACGGAGCCATGTCTGGCGATTATGGAGGCTGGGGCATCGTTACAGTATTGTTTTTAGCCAAAAATTCATGAACAAGCAATGAAGTGTGAGCAGGTACATTATCGAGGTGCAAAAGCCATGAATTTTTTTACCACAAATCCGGTCATTTTTTTTCGGATTGCTTCATGCAAACGGTGTTGAACTTGCAGGTAGTACTGCTATTGACCGTTTGACCTCATGATGTACGATTTCGTTAAAATTGAAGAACACAGTGAGCATAACATTCACGTTCGATTGCACTTGTCGAGCCTTTTTTGGTCTTTACAATCCAGAATGCTTCCACTGGGATGATTGAGTTTCGACGTCGTATTCATAAACCCATGTTTCGTCACCTCTTATAACACGTTTCAGTAATTTTACATTGTCGTTAACTTAATTAAGTGACTCCTGAGCAACTTGTGATTCGGCTATCGTTTATAACCATTTCTTTCATTTTTTCTACGTTTTCATCGGTTGTTGATATGCTGGGGCGTTTGTCATCTTCAACGTTTTCATGACCTGTTGGAAACGCTTATACCACTCGTAAATCCTTGTTTTACTTGTGGCAGACTTACCATTACCTTTGTTAATATCTCACACATTATTTCATTTTTTATGAAAAAACTGATACAAATTCATTATTTTTTTAACAAACTAAAATCGCCGACTTCATAAATACGTCTAATCTTTGCGGCTGCCACTAACAAAGTAAAAAAATGAATCCAGCTGAAAATTTTATCATACTTCAGGGTCATGTGTACCTACATAATAACTAATATTATGTAAATTATTTAAATTATAAATAAACAATTTTTATAAATTATAAATTCAATATAAATATTTAATATTTTTTATTAAAAAAATTCTTAAAGAAGATTAAGTGGTATATCATATATTTAGTATCATTCAAATTTTATCTAGAGAGTATATTTAAATCTCTAAGTAGGAAACGTATAATTGCCTAATTACTAAAAATAAAACGGAATGTCATATAATAAATATTGATAATTGATTTTTACTATGTTAAATTTAGGAGAAGTTACGGTTAACTACAAAGAAATAATTCTTTCAAGTACAAGTTTTTAGTTAAAATTTAGGAAATTAACTTTTTTTTCCACTTATAAGTTTAGGTTATGGAGTATTATCCTTTTTCCACTCAACAGTTCATTTATAGTTAAATTTAATTTATATCTTAAATGGGTATCAACTTTTTTTTTTTCAATATTATATTTATATAAAGAGTAATCGAGTTGTTTATAATAAAAAAATCATTTTATGTATACATATAATTTATAAAACTTCGAGGGCTATGACCTCTTCTTTTTTTTTAAGCCTGTTTTAATAATATAATCAAAGCAACTATCATAAATATTAATCTTTTTCTACGGACTATCAATACAATTATTTGCGATGTACCATAAAATAAAAATATCAAATATGTCGGCTCAAACTTTACAAACTTTTTAACCTATTATGTAAACATTTTGTTATTGAATAAAATTCAAATATTTTTAGAACACTGATTAAGCTATGAATTATGTAAAGCACTTTTATATGTAACGTTAAAGTAATAACAGTCAAATGATTTTGCTATGAGATGGGGTGAAAAACCTTATCGATAAAAATCATACTATTCCAAGAAGATATTCTGAACTATTATATATGCATGAATGGATTTCTTTTTTTTAAGCCTATTTCAAATATTTAATTTATTTTAGAATAATACCCCGTTGAGTTTTTCTGTTATTTGACTGTCACTAGTTCAAATAAATTGTTCTTAGAGATAAAAATTTTAGTTAGCTAAAGCGTGAATATGTTAAACATTCTAAGTGTGGAAAAATTAAAAAATATTTCAACTATTTGTATCCTAAATCACAATCTTGCATGTTTCCTCATTGAAAATTCTTTAATTGATAGCACTAAAAGAGGTGTCCTTAGGCAGTGCCCGGTAATTTATAATCAAATTAACAAAAATACAATTTATTATGTGCAATGAATAATGTTATATTTATAAAGTATAAATATATAAATATTTGGCTCCTATTGGAATAAAACTACTCAAAAAAATCGATAAATATATATAAAGTATATTTCGCACATTTTGTATGGTGATGTGTTATTAATGAGGTCAGACACGTCTTGACAAAGGATTTAATGTGGTAGGAGGGGTTTAAATGATAATTTCATCCTCTCCATTGGAAAGGATATAATGGTTAAATCTACATAGTGAGTCTCCATATAATATATATAAATTATAAATATAATTATATTCGATTGAAGTCTATGGCACCTTTTAAATACATGATTAAATAAGGTCATCAAAAATTTTAGCTTTCCAGTCGGCCGAAAGACTTTTAAAAATGATCATAGCTCGTTTTTATCGCAACTCACCCTATGCTCACACCGTTAACAATAAACTACCAAAGGAGTCAAATTGACGCATCGCTAGTAAAATGCGCCTATAAAATATCTCTAGCGTTCCAGGGTTAATAGTACACATGCGTACTTTAAATTCTGCGTTAATATTTTTGGAATATTCTTATCATCTATTTATACAAATTGGTCTCTATGATATCTAAACATATCAAACAATCTTAGAAATAATTATTAGAGGGGTGTAAATTTGCCGTCTTAGCATCTTAATGAGTAACAAAGTCTGCTATATATTGTAATAATACAAACGATTTAAATTAACATTTAGCAAATTTGACACACCAAAACCCCTTTATGAAATTGTTCCTGTGCTTGTTTAATGTTTTTTGTTTCCTAGAAAAAACATATTTTTTGTAGACATAGAACGTGTGACACATTAACTCTTAATGTATTATGACTGTTATAACATTTTTTTTTGTCTATCAGCCATTTTTCAATGTCGGCAGCAGAACGTCGTCATATGGTATATACATCCATAACTATGTCTGACGAAGACGACTGGATAAGTGATAATTTTCTTTTCGATGATACAACTTCGACTACTGGGCACCCAATGATTTCCTGATACATAACCATACTAATGAATACAAGACAAGCAATTTCGTCAAATAGAATACGTCTTGTTAGTTTTGTTAATGGTTTTTGGACATGGTTAAAAACACATATTAACTAACATTTATTGAGTAAGATTATATATAAAAGTAAATTGTGATAATCAACTTAAATTTTAAACTTAACCAAAGTTACTTGAATTATTATTAGAATTTAGAACTCATTAGGTCAAAAGCGTATTTTGAACTTTTTATTGGGGGCGTAGTATATAATGTATATTAATAATAATTGTAAAATCATGGACGTAGTTGAATTCCTAACCCAAGATATAAAAATATTTAATACGTCTTTATTAATATCTCTCCAAAATAATTGTGATACCAATAGCTTTAGCTTGGCACTAAAAAGTGTCATTTATTATGTTTTGATAATTATTATAAAAATAGTCAAACGACAATATCTATCTCATAGACCTGCGGGTATTGGTAAAATAATTAAATGCAGAATGAATTTTTAATATAAAACAAAATATTAATTACATATAAAGAAAGCTAGAAATAAAATGTGCAACATATAACATGAATCCAAACTGATTAGAACAAAATACATCATATAAATCAAAGTTAGAATAAGAAAAAAGGATAGCCAACAACACGAACTATGGTAAAAAAGACTTGACAAAGTCTTCGGGAGCGGGGAGTGCGATCCGGTTTTGTTATAAAAATTCCGCAGAAGACGAATACTCGGCGAGCAGTAAGCTCTAACGACGAACATATTTTCAGAATACAAAATTTAAAAAACGGAATGGAGGAATGAGTAAAATAGTAGAAGGCGCCGTTATTTTAAAAATTCCCTCTTTTACGTAAAATGTATAACAAAATCGGATTGCCTGATAATGCTTTTTGTCCAATTTATCATAGTTTGTAAAGATAACATAGATCTTAACATTTTATATATTTAGAATATTCATTAAATAAGTATTTCAAAAATAGTATCACCTCACATTCAAAAAAAATTTGACTGGCCTATAGTTTACTCTAGTGTACAGATAATTTCTAAAAATACACATTTCTTGTTTATATTTTAAATTCCTATTTCAATTATTCGATGAGAAAGTATAATAAGAGCCGTTCTGTGTTGGAAGGGGAGTGTCACACTCTCCACTTGGAAAAATTTAATCGTTTTAGTCGGTAATTTTTTAATATAGGAGGATCCTACCAAAAAATAATTGTTAATCAAAAGACGCACAATTTAAAAAGAATTATTCAATCTTCAAAGATAAATTTTTCACCCGCCTATATTTTTGTCTTCGGAAAGCCCCGAGTACAATCGAATTATTTAGGGAGTTCATTTTTGGGTACACTTGTATTCAAAAAACTACAGTATTTTGTGGTTAAATCATTTTTTTTATTATTAAAAACTAATAATAAAAAATATGATTTTAATGTAATCTAAGAATGCATATCTCCTTCTTTTTCCTCGCCTTAATCCCAACTACTTGGGGTCGGCCTCACTGTTGTTCCCTTGTACATCCGAGATGGGACAATCCGCCTAAGTTTTGTTCTGAACTCCTCATACTTTTTGGAAAAAAAATTACGCCAGCTATCATTAGTCATTAGTCGCCTCTTACGACAAAAGCAGAGGACGTGGAAGTATTGTTATCCATCCCCTATCCATAGAGACAAGTAAAGAATGCATAAAATATTACAGCGAAAGGTCAGTTGTATCATAAGTTCTGTTCCTCTCTGTATATTTTTCAAAAGTACATAATTTTTGTAATATTGTTATCAAAATTCGGAAGTTAAGTGCTAAAAAATTCTAAAATAAGTACATAAAAATACCCTTAAAAGTAGTGGTGAAATATCAAATACATACAACTTTTAACAAATTATTCGCCTTACAAGATTTAATAATTAAAAACTGTCTATAGATGTTAATTAGGGCTCACATTTAAATTTCATAGGAATTTTTAAAACTAACATCACAATCAAATAAAATGACACAAAAATATTAGTTAAGATAAGATTAAAATTATAAGAAATGACACTATAGAAAATATTGTGATCTCAATGAAACCAAATAGTCTTTTATGAAGTGAGTCAAATATAAATCGTCTATTTACAATAAAAAAAATGTTCCAACAAGTATTGTTAAACGAATTTGTATCGAACCAGATTCAGGGCTTGAATTAAAGTATTAATTTTATTTTAACGTTATGACAGTTAATGCGTTAAGTCTTACTTTTTATATGTTTTAAATAATTTAAATGTTATAGATTTATGTTTTACGTTTTGCAATATTTAAACGCTTTTAATCATTATTTTACCATAATAAGAATTAATTGTACACATGTGAAATTTACCTAACATGGTTTTTATATTGAGAAACACTGAATTGCTCGTTATTATATTTTCCACAAATTTATATAAATTATATATATGTAAGAAATATATTTTCGCTTTAGGTTATTTATTTTGTTTAAAGTTATGTCTTGTTTTTCATTATTATATATTATTCGGTAATCATAATACATTTTTGTTTACGTTTTTCGATTCCAAACAGTTTTATAACGTTTTAACTTCCAATAATGAAAGTTATAATGTTATAAAAACTGTTACACAAGCCCAGACTATATTATTAATATGCACTTCTCTAACAAATACGCATTTGGCTTAATTTCCGAGCAATGAATATTATGATTGACGTCTAAATTATCAATTAAAAATAAATACACTACTGGAGACTACTAAACAATACATAAACAAAATATTATTACTACAACAAAAGTAGTAAACATATTATAAAAATGATATTTTATTGCTGATATTAGAGACATTAACACAAATATTCCATAATTTTTTAACTCTACCTTGAGACCCCTATAGGGATAGGGCATTCAAATTTTTCGAAGCTAAATGTGATTTATTCTTTCCCACAAAAAAAGAAAACTATATAATTATACATTAGTAGAACGGTTGGCAATCTTTTTTGGAAGTCTGGATAAATTCAATGTTAGTAAGTTTATGGTTAAATTTTTTCAGCCCATACTTTTAAAAATTGGCTTAATGCATCCCTATGTTGACTTGTTAGTTTTACAATAAAATAATTATTTCATTCTAAATATATTAGATTTATTAAATTTAACAATTTCTAAATGAATTTAAACTATGTGTTCATGTATATTTTTTAGTGTTAATAATATTTATAATCTAAAAAAATTATATCTACTTAATGTTCTATAATTTTTTATTATTATTTAGATTATTTGTTATTTTGTTGTATATCTTAAATTATTTATTATGTATTACTACTACATTATAAATTGTTACTGTATAAAAAAAATATATTAGCCATTTTTTTTTTGTTAAATCATTTGTTTTAAATTAAATTTAAAATTAATAAATAAAATGCATACATTTTTACAAAAATAGTTTTCAATTAAAATTTTTTAGCATACTTAATTATATATATATATATTTAATGAAAAATAAAAAATGGACTCAAAACTTGGAATGATTTTTTCTTACTAATATATATGTATAATTATAATAACCTAATTCTAATAATTGTAAACTTAAAAAAAATAATTTTTCTTTAAAACTAATTTTAAATTATTACTTTTTTTAAAAAGAACCAGGAATGAGAAAAAATTAACTCCGTTTAAAAAATTAATTATATGTGTATTTAACAAATTAGTTTTTATAGAACTAGTCACTTTCTATATCTTCAAATTTACTAATATCTTCTTTATACTCTTCATGAAAATCTTGAAGAGTGCGTACTTTACACCTTAATTCATCCGATATAGATGTAATGATTTCAGTTTTTTCACCTTCTTCTGAGTTTAAATTATTTACAACTTCAAATTTGGATTTTGGAACATGTTTTTTAGTTTTCTTTAATGATTGTAGTTCTAAAATTTCATTTTTTAAACTACTTGCTGAAAGAGTTTTTTTTGATACATTTCTCTTTTTTTTAAGTACAATTTCTTCTTCCATCATGTAAGCACATACACTCATTCTTCCACATTTTGCACGGGTCACATTGTTATGACGTCTTTTACGGGATTTTATTTCTTTTATAGGTTTAATGGAAACATTGGATTCAATAGTAGAAATGGATTCAATAACATCAGGTTCATCATCTTGGAACATATTTTCAATAAGAACACTGTCATAATGTGTTGAGTTAGTAAGAGCACCATTAATGAGTTGAGGGTTTTTTCTTTCTTCAGTCTTATATTTTCTTTTAATTTGTGCTCTAGTACGCCCAGGAAAATATTGCTGTATCATAGAAAAATCGGTACCAAGATTCATTAAACATTTGTAAAACCTGAGTGTTTCATCTTTTGTCCATTGCTTAGAGGGTTCTCTTTTACGCTTATAAGAATAACTATGTGACTGAAATCCTGATTCCTCAATTACTTTTGACTTGGCAAGTTCTTCTCTTTTTTCTTCTAACCCTGTTTCATTTAACATCAATGTTTCTTGATCAATTATTATTTTTCCATCAGCTCCTACTTTTATACATGGTGTAATACAGTTATTAGATGTTGAAGTTTTATTTACCTGAAAAATATAATATTATTTATTTATATATATTTTCCTAAGAAACAAATTTAATGTTAAAAACTTTCATTCATATTTTATATTATAAATTTAATTAATACGAATTAATGAAAAATAATTTTGTAATCAAGGCTTAAGGTACTTTTCCACACTAGACAAAATCAAAGTTACTACATTACTACATTTCATTTTGCTCAACATATATTTTGAATTGAAAAAGCCTAAAAATCAAAAAATGTTGTCCCGGCTAGTTTCCATTTAGCCTGTATGGTATGATAGGCTTATTCACATGTACTAGATACTAAATATTGAGGCGACATACTTAGCTTCTAAGTTATTGTTTTGTGCCTTGGTACAAAAGTACTTTTGATACAAGCAATAGCTTTTATAAATGAAGTTAAATAAATAAATAATAAAAATATATTACCTTAAAATAAATTTTGGAGTCTTAAGATTTTATTTTTATATTTCACAGATACCTCATGAAAATAATTATAAACTTATTTCTGATTTAAAGTAAATCTATGTTGCTATGAAAAATATTTTTATACATAAATACATACCGATTCCTCCGATATAGACATCAAATCCCCATCAGGATCATCAGCATTTTTATCATCTTTTTTTAAAACTTTTTGATCTTTTACAATAGGATTTGTTACAGGATTATAATAAATAAGATCTTGCATAGTTAACAAAGTTTTATCAAAATCTTTGCCTTTGAATTTACTTGAAAATGGTATATTCCAGCGCTGATAATTTTCTTTAGGTTTTTTAATATTTTCTAAAGTAAAATCTGATTCATCTATTTTTTTAAGAGAAATAGAATCATTATTTTTTAATTTGGGTGATTCAATATTTGATGAGTATTTTTCAGGTGATTTTGACTGAATATTACTTAGTGTTTCATCGATAGACTTCTCAATTAATGGTTTAGTTTTTTCATTACTTTCAATTAAGATATCACTCCTAACAGATTCCGAAATTTTAATAACCTTATTAGATTTTTCATCATCTAATTTTTGTTTAGAACTCTTAATATCAAATTTATCTGTTAACTTAGAAGGTATATTTGGTTTTTTTTTTGCAAATGGAAACAGTCTATTCAGACCAGATTTATTGTTCAACATATTAAGGTACCTGAACAAATTTTACAAAGTTAAAAAAATATCTATGATGAGAGAAAATAGACTTAGATGGTTTGGTCATGTGATGAGGAGAGAAGAATCGGAAGCTGTAAGAACAGTTATAGAAATGAATGTTGAAGAAAGAAGAGGTAGTGGAAAACCAAAAAAGAGATTAAATGATGTTATTGAATGCAATATGAGGATGGCTGATGTGAGTGTAGATGATATGGGAGATTGTGTCAAGTGGAAGTTTAGGATAAGGATGCCCGATCCCAAGTAGTTGGAATTAAGGCGAGAAAAAAGAAGAATAAGAAGCGTCATTAACTGAAAAAGTATATCAATAAACAAACTAATATTGTTTTATTGTTTATAATAATTAATTAGAAAAATGATTTTTAAATTTATTGAAATTGAACAATAATTGAAAAATCAATCAAATTAAATATATATATTTTAATGACTTCTGATATATGATTAAAACTATTTATATATACAGATTTATCATTGACTACTAGATTTTGTTTAAAAAAAAAATAATTTTAAGGATTTTCATTTTTTTGTTTAGTATAGAACTTTTTATTTCTTAATTTATAGGTGATAAAATATTTTTTCAATCTACCCCTTATTCCTTATAAGGTTATAAACTTTATTTTAGCTTCGATGCGAAGCTGAGAAGGTATTGGTTTTACTAAGATGTGTTTTTTTTTTTTTTTTTTT